CACAAGCACAGGAGAACACTGCCATATCTTCTTCATATCTATAGCGGTTTTGTTAGCACTACTGGCGATAAGGCTATTATAACAGGCAGAGCGGAGCCTCGAGTTGTAGGCTACGGAGAGGCACTGGAAATATAGTCTATTCCTAGACTTTTAAATAATCTTAACAGGGTCTATTACTTTAGGTGCTATTTAAATGATCTCGGATTTGTAGAGCAGAAACGAATTAGCCATCCCTGTCACACGCTTGGCTCACAACAAAAGGCTTTGAGCCACCAAAGGTTACACAACACCGGAGGCAAAAGATGACGAGGCCCGAAGTCGGTGTTAAGCGAGGGCTCTTCGCCCTCACCAACTTCTTGTATATATAGGGACCTCCCGTCCCTTAAAGCCTCGTGGAAAACCAAGGACCTTAAATACGTTAAAGTCAGTTATTATAATATGAATAGAACACTACGTTCCAAGTCCAGTTACCCTGCCCTTGTCACAATCAGCGACTAATAATTCAAAATGGGCGCTTCCCAGACTACAATATAGAATAGACTAACGCACCCACCAAGACAGCTTACTTGCCAATTAGCGAAATCATACGAGTCTCGTAATCACCAGACAGGTACTCCTGCAGATCCTTGGCCAGAGTCACACTATACACCCTCCGTCATGTCAGGAAGATATCATGATTCATGACCAGAAAGACTTGTTGGTTAAATGCCGCTCACCTGTTTAACTTTGGACCCTAGAGACCCCTTGTGAGACCACGCTGGGCACAGGTACATTGTATCGGGATAGACTGGATGACTACGCTCTGAATAGTGACGGCAAGGATAAATGAAGGCAATGGTTTCACCACACCCCTGCGTTTCTCTCTTGCATTGACCAGTTCCTAACCAGATAATATTATGCGTTCTAATAAGGTTCTCGCCGAAATTGGACCCATATTACTAGTACTCGCCTTAACCGGAAGGGGCAAAGCGTTAACCAAGTCGTCGATTACCCTAGCTTATAAACACGACCAAAGTACTTGGTATTTCCCTAAAATACTACGTTATACCTTGCATGTATTATTTTCTAACAGGGGCAAAATTATTAATATATTGTTAAATAACTACTATAGCTATTATATAAATTACCTAATTAAGCCTATAAGTAATTATAATTTTATATAAAACTCTAGTTTATCGTATAAGTATTCCAAGTAAGAACCTCTTGTCTCCTAGTACACCAATTCTTATCTTTATATTCGAGTCAAATCATAAAATTACCGGCTAGCAGCGTACACGGAGCTGGTATCGCCGTCGAGTATTTGTGGGGCGGCGTATTGGCACCAGCAGGATGTAGTGATACCTTGACCGCACGTGTTCAACTCCCGTGGTAGAAGCAGAAGCGATTGCGTACACAGCCTTTGGCCGAACAACAACTAGGAGCAGTGTCCTGCCATTTGAGACCTCTTATATAAAATCAATAGTCTTGGCTAGTCAGGCCGTATTTGAAGGCATAATGATTTATCTTACTTGTAACGCAGCCATGCGTTGTTGTATTTTATACATACTGGGAATTTGACTAGTTAGCATTTATTAGCATTAATACTACCCTGATTGGCAAGGTCCTTTAATTATGCCAGTGTAACCTGGAAACTAAGAGGGCTGTAAGACGCCATCTTCCTTCTACTGTTACACGGAAATGGCCCAATGTCAAAGGTTACACAAGGGATACAATCACGGGACTAGGGCAAAGTCCCTCACTGTCTTGTATTTAAAGACGTCTTCGGTTAACGAGGCCTTGAGGAAAACCAAGGACTTTTGCTACCAAATACCGTTCTTAGATGAATTGAGCTATTGACTCCAAGCCCTCTATCGAGCCCTTGTCACACCGACGCCGATAATAATCATCATATAACTAGCAAACATCAGCCATCTGTTCCGCCAGTGCAATTTGCCTGATGTATTCTTACTAGAAAATTGCTCGTCTGGCTATGCCTCCGATCCAGCAAATCAAGCGACTTGGCGCCTCGGCATAACCACCTTAGTTCTGTACTCGAGATAGAGAGACTCCTCACAGTCAGAGCACATCTCCGGAATAATGAGTATATAACGAAAATGAATGCACTCATTGGCAACAAGATAGCTCTCAGATGGGGCCTTTTAGTTGCAACCCACTAATTAGACCTACGGATTCAACTAATTGCGGCCTGTTACGAGACAGCCGTCGCGTTTGGAGCAGTCGTGGCAGGCGTATATGCTGGAATTAAATTACTGCTTTCAACAGTCGGGCCCAAGAGATGCATAAATAGGAGTCCGTCTATTGGGAACTGTATAAATAAGCGCTACAACCCATATGATGGACCACCGTACTGGATGCTAACAGGCTCTTCGAGTTTGTAAACGAGTTTGAAATAAAATTAGACGATGATATTATCACCGAGTTAGAATATAGGACGCCATGTCTCTGGTTGAGCTTTGTCACTGCTGAAATGAAGAAAACGTCAATGACCAGGTGGTTGATTTGCTCAACCGCCTGCTGCGATATAATCCTCGCGTATGTGTTTTATGTGCTGCGGGTCATAGCTTGCTCATGGCTTCATAGGAACCATTATCGGTTCGAGAAGCGTTAAATTACCCGCTTGCCAATCCATATGCAGAAAGATCTTTAGTGGCTATGCAACGCTCAAGTTGATTACTCGAATAGTGCGCGAGTCAAGTAGAGTCAGAAGGACATAATTTTCACTGAGCGAATAATACTTTTAAACCAAGACGTATTCGTTGCGGTGTGTGAATATTATATTTCATCCAAGACCATCGTGTGCCATCCGTAAGCTTGAGTGTTGACTCCAGTATCCGTCCTGTCAGGGCCTGCAATACATCGTATTGGCGCACAGCACCGTCCATTTCCCAAATCATCAACTGATAATACAGTATTCCAATCAAAGGCAAAAGTTCCCGCAAACCGACCGACCATCCTTGGTCCCGAAATGTCGAAGACGGAGCTGTTCGTATCCGTTGGGGGGGGGGGGGGGGGGGGAGTTGCTGCCATTCCTCGAGAAACACGTTGTGACGCTCATCGCACCCCCCAAGACGCCGTACATCTGGCAGGAATCCTGCTATTTAACAGTGGCACTGATTCTTTTGAAGATGAATCGCCTGCCACGACTGCGGCGTTGATCATACCCTCCTATGACGCCGGCTCATGGCCAGGATAGCCTGCATTAACTGTGCTGCCTTCATCGTCGGAGGAGTTATCGTAGCCCTGATGCCACAAGCACAACGGAACCTGCGAGCTGTCTGAGCAGTGTGCGCCATGGCCGCATTTTTTGCATGGACGCTTGTTCGCCGGCTGGGAAGTTTTGGGAGACCTGGGCTCTTTGGAGGGCAAAGCGTTGCCGATGCTCCTGACAACCTTCCAAGCAAACTCCATGTCGTGTGTAGTAACAAAGATTTGGGATCGAGAAAAATATATGTCGTGTAGATTTGGTGCCAAACAATTTTGCAAAAGGGAACTTGGTCGGTCGTGTGTGCTGCGTAGGATGCTGGTTTTGGGAGACTGGGCAAATGGGTGGGATCTCGACTTTACGTAGTCTTGTTCATTAGCTGTCCTAATATATGAATTTTGAGTGCGTGTAGTGAATTTATTGAGTTCAGTCGAGTTCAAGGTGGCGTTGCTGGCCGCATGGACAGGCTCGTACATGTAGGGTCTGGTGTTTGGTCTCAGTTCACTACGCCATAGTGTAAGCGCCGCCTTGGTCCTACTAATACATAGTCAAGCAGATGGGAAGACTTGGCCTTTTATTCGCTGCTTTCTGTTCCGTGGTGTTTCTTTTTGACAGCTAGATGAGTAGCCGTCTGTGCAGCACGACGAATGAAAGGTCCATACCAGTATCTCTGTACCACTTGGTCTTTTTGTTTTGCTTCTTTTCTTGATGAGTACTTTACAAATGTGTACGTAGCTTTTTCACATCTTTTGCTCTGGCAGGCTAGTAGTATACTTGAGTTCTGCCTATTTTGGCAGTGAATGGACGAGGCGCAAAGAGTGCCTGGCTATAGCGCCACCGGGCTATTGCGCATTGCATCGACGACTCTCAAACAAGCTCGAATGTGGGATTGCAATGTTCGGCCGATATACTTGTGCAGGTTTAGGGCAAGTATACTTCCACAGACTGCATTTTAGCATCTCTAGCCTCCACGTCGCGGCGCATGTGTCCAGGCACGCCGGTATTCGCAATACATCTTCTCGTTTTACGCACCAAAGCCCAAGCGAGCGGCGTGTATTTTCCACGAATTTGTACCCTTCAAGAAGCAGCTGGGCTGATTGTTTTCGTCTTCAGAGCAGTCGTAGTGCTGACTGCGGCGTCTGTGAAGGTCAAAGTCACTCAAAACCTGAGTGGTGGATCGACTAACCATCAGATGTGCTGGTTCATCTGGCCCCAATGACCTAGCATGGCAATTCAGTGAACTCAGATGGTGGCTCAAAGAGGCTATCGAACATGGCCTGAGCACGGCTTAAACAAAGGCCCAAACAATTTGATGCCACACAAAGGTCAACTGGTTGGTTCTAGGGAGCTAAGCCCCTGGCCGTGCGACGTCCGACATGACAGGTCCTTTTCTTGGCTAATCACGGATTCACGGCAAGTTCAGCCCCGATTTGGATGGCCACGTGTGAGGCCGGTCGACGGGTTTAGGCAGAGCATTGCCGGGGTCAAGACTCAGCCGCAATTCACGTAGGACGTGTATTCCTCGTACAACGCTTCGAATGCGAACACGGAGATTACGGTAGAGGCATCCCTGTAAGGCTGTGGCTGAGCTATTCCGTGTCGCAAAACGGTGTGCCCGTTGTGTTGGCGATGGGCCGTGACCAACATTCATCGCGGATACGATATACATACATAAAGAAGCCGGCACGTCAGTCGATTGTGTTGCCAGTCAAAACACCATCCCGCTTCACCCGGCCATCGCATCCAGAAAACCGGGTCCTGTCGGCCGAAACACATCGGGCTCGATTGCAGATCAGCCATGACGGCCTCCACCGCGACGCGGTACGATGTGCATCGGCCAGCATTCTCGTACCACTACAATGTCACGGCCCACGACAGCAAACAGACGCTCTACTACTGCAACGTCACTCGGTTCACGAAGAGCTGCACGCCCGATCTCGTCCTCCACGCCGGACGAGACAAGGCCGCGCCGCCCGTGGCACTGGCCCATATTCTCCAGTTTTCGCAGAGCTTCAAGATCGGCTTCGGGAGCCGCGCCGACGTGGACGCGGTGGAATGGGAGGACTTGACCAGATCCAACGCCGGCGGTTCCGACCACCGCTGGGAAATGACTCTCGCAGGGCACGGCAGGATATCTTTGGTGTGGAAACGAACAACAGCAGTCACCGCGGACGGGGCCAGTCTGCCCATAACCAGCCACCGAGGGCACCGAGGGCACCGCGGCTGGAAGCTCATCGAGGAGAGCACGCCCGGCGAGATTCTGGCCGTCTTTACGTTTGACCGGGTGTTTGGCAGGAGGGGGATACTGCAAGTGGATGTGGATTATGGGGAAAAGTTCACGGTGGGAGTGCTGATGAGCATATTGACGCTGTATGAGAGAGGAGAGGAGCGTTGAGGCGGCAGCGCGGATGGAACAAGACGAGTCCGATGGAATACATCAAAAAATTTATTGATGGCAAAATGAAGCTGCCGTGAGGATACGTACCGGACAAGACGACAGGCATCGACACAGGGTTAGCAACCCTGGAGGCTTGGCTCGGCCGTTGGTGCGTTTTAGTCTAAACTCTAATCACACGCAAATGGGACCGGTTGACCACCAACCCTGCCGACGCCGCCATGGAATTTGCAAGCCGCTCCCACCACACGCATCTTGTCCGCCAAATCAAGCCTGCATTGGGGTCGACGCCACCGTCTGCAAGCGTCCAGATGTCCTGGCTCGCCGCAGGTGGAGTGTATCTCTCCGGATGCACGTCGATTCCCGTCTCCCTCCAAGACAACCGCCGACCTCGTCTCGGACACTTTGCATCTCGCCGCGTGCCATGGCGACGACAAAAGCGAGCCGCGCGGCCAACGGCACCGTGCCGCAGCGCGTCATTCTCGTCACCGGTATGTACTTGACATATTTCCTCGTCCCCCCCCAGCAGCAAGAGCAATCCCGCCATCCCGGCGCGGCGGGCCGCTGACGGCAGCTCTCTCCAGGTGCCAACTCTGGCATCGGCTACGACATGACGGCCGCCCTCGTGGCCTCCCCCGAGAACCACGTCATCATGGGCTGCCGCAACTACGAGCGAGGCACGAGGGCGCTGCAGCAGCTGCACGCCCAGCCTCACGCGGGCTCCCTCAGCCTCCTCGAGGTGGACATCACCGACGACCAGAGCATCGGCCTGGCCGTGGACAAGCTGGCCGCCGAGTATGCCGTCGTCGACGTGCTCATCAACAATGCCGGCATCGTCATGCGCAACTTTCCCGACCGCCGCTCCGAGATCCTCGACACCATGAACACCAACTCGGTCGCCCACCTCGTCTTCACCGAGGCCCTGGTGCCGCTGCTGCAAAAGTCGGCCGACCCCCGCATCATCAACGTCTCGTCGGCGCTGGGCTCCATCCACGCCCGTCTCGACCCGCGCGATCCCGCCTACGGCATCGCCTCCGAGGCCTACCGCATGTCCAAGGCCGCGCTCAACATGGCCACGGCCTGCATGTATGCCACCTACAAGGTTTGGGGGGCCAAGGTATGGGCCTACTGCCCGGGACATGTCATTACCAACTTGACTGGCGAAGGGGACAGGGGGGTGAGAGCACCTACTGGCGCTGCGAGTTCGACCTCGAGCGCCGCCGGCATTGTCGACATTGTACAAGGGAGGAGAGACGACGACGTGGGCCAGTTTTTGCAGATGGGTGGAAGGATATTACAATGGTAGGCTTTTTTTCTTTTCTTTTCTTTTCTTTATCTTTTTTTTTGGGTTTGAGGGTTTACGGCGCATGGATATTTTTTGGGAGGATGGTAATTTTTTTTTAAGGCTCGACACGGTAGATTGGTTGGCTGTAATGCTCAATATGTGGCGGCTACGCTGTTCCCGACACTGCTGTATATATTCAAAGGTCTGGGTACCAAAATCGACTTGACATACATGATATCCCACAGCAAACGTCTCACATCGCTTCGTTCTTGAACACATTGACGCGGATATTGATTGGAAACCCCGTGGTTGGATCTGGCATTTGCACCAGCTTGCGAAAGTCTGGGCCGTGACTGTATCTGTTGCGTCTTGGTTTGTATGGCAATGAGTCAGCTTCTTGTCGAATTGGACGGCGTCTTCCAACCCTGTGAGAAGAACCTGTCGCAACGTCATGCGACTAACTGAGTGCTCTGCGCCAACGCCGTCGTCAGACGCTCTGCTAAAATCTTGGAGACTGAGAAGCTCTTGGTATTTCTCGGTCATGAAGTTGAGGTAGTCTGGTGGAATAGCAGTGGTGTTGGCAAAGATCTGGAATAGGTCGTCCGGTATACAGGCAGCGAGGAAGTGAGAGCCTTCGGGCGATATCTCACCGCAAAGCTAACCGAATCGGGGAAAGGCCGTCTCTTCAAGACCCATAGATGTCACCTTTTGAACTTGGATCGAGTTTGTCGCCGTTTCCCGGAGCAAGACATATAATCGGCCGAATAATGTACGGCTCTATAGGGAATATGACCTTGAGAAAAACTTCAGCCGTCGTTTCCATGCAGCTGTGTCGTGCCGGGCTCATGGCGAAATTTGAGTGCCTGGCCTGGGCCGGACACTGAGAGTCTGTCAGATGTCACCATGTTAACTTGACCAGACATTGCATTTGACCCTGGGCACAGCCAACCTGTGTGGAGGTAATGATCAGACAATCGCCCCAGGTTTGCCAAATCCCGCTGTTCTGGGTTCAGGAGTACACTTCCACTTCAGAATATTGTCAAAGTCCTTTGAGATAGCATCCAGCGTTCAAGTAAAGCCCGGCTTGTCGATGATGACGGCCTGGGTTTTGCAAGATGGCCCGGATTAACTTCGGAAACCATGGACGAAACACGCCGTCATGACCTGCGACCAGGCACCAGCTGGACATTCACGCTCGACACCTCCCAATGTGATGCTCCCATTGACGACACAAAAGGACTGCCAGTCGGCGTTCAGCCCGGCCTTGGGCTGTATGAATCCTGCAACTCTCTATCCCGCATAAGACGACATGGTTAATGTTGCCGGTAGGAGCAGAGGATGTTCCAACTGCCGCCGACGCAAAGTGAAGGCGAGCATGGCCGCATGTCACTCACTGACCGTCGCCTTGCTAATGCGACTTGCCATAGTGCGATGAGGCATTCCCGCAATGCGAGAAATGCACCACCAGGGGCCTCCGATGCCCCGGACCCCGGACGGGAGCATTTTTCGTGCATGTGCAATCGGGAGAGTCATCGTCCGAAGCGGTCCCTGAACACCACCCGGGCACAGCATCCGCCGCCCTTGGCCCCGTGACACCGAGAAATGCATTTGTGCATATCCCCCTGGTTTCCGACCCGAGGTCGTGTAGAGCAACGGCATTTGACCAATTGTTCGTCTCCCATTTCGTCGAATCATTCGGCCAATTGAGCGGCGTGAGGTTCCCCATCTCCCCCAACGCCAACTGGCTGGAAAGGCTACCGCAATATACATCATCCCCCGGAAACTCACTTGCCAAAACATCCATCCGCTCCGCATCAATGCTGAGCTACGCGACATGGGCCCGCGATAGGTCGATTCAGACGGAAGCGTACAAGTGGTATGCCAGAGCACTGGCAGGCTTGCAGGCGGCGCTGTCGCACACAGCGCCAGCAGCAACCGAATCCAATGTATGCTCTGCCGTCATGCTCATTCACTTTGAGACATGGGCGGACACTGCCGAGGGTGCCTGGCTCAAACATGTTCACGGCGCGTCAACTCTGCTAGAGGCCGCGGGACCACGTGCCTGTCACGAGGGCTTCATGCACAGGATATTTTGCCATCTACGATTCCAAGCGGTACGTCTCTGCTGCCTCGGCTGAATCATGTGTCCGTGTGGTATGCGGGCTAACTTGTGGCATTGTCTGCAGTTCATCGCCACCATGTACGAGAACAAGCTCTCGGGGTTTGCCTCGCCTGAATGGACGTGCATCCCGTTTGAGATTCACCCCCCCAACGTGTTTGACCAAATAGTTACGATTTTATTTGACGTTCAGGCGTGTTTGGCCACCGCCCATGGGGTCACACGAACGCGTGACTTGGCGGCAAGGGCCAAAGTGCAATTGAGAGCGTTGGCCGAAGCAACCGTGGCCAAGCTGTTGCAGTGGGAACAGCAGTTTATGCCACCCTCGACGACTCAAGAGATGAATGGCATCTGTAAAGACAGTTGGCCATCGGCTTCTTCGCCCTCGCCACCAACAGGACCCAGTGCCGCCCATGATAGGTTCCCACCGGCTCATTTCACGAGTATGCCGGAAGCGGCTTTGCTGTCCCTGTATCACGCTGCTTGTATAGTTGCCTGCCGCTTACTAGCCGTGGTGCGAGACGACGTAGCCGATGGCGATGGACTGCTGGTGCACACCCAGGAGATTATACGGGCTTACAAGTTTGTGGAAAGGGTTACGGACAAGGCGCCTACCAGTAATTTGGGGCCGGTAATGATGGTTCCGCAGCTGAAGATGGCGTCGTTGTGGGGTGTTGACGAGAGTCAAAGAGTGATGGCTATGCGCATGTTGAAACGAGTCGGTCGGCATCAGAGCTTCGCCCTTGGAGACATTGGGGACTTGCAAGACGGTTATTTTGCGAGCGTGGCGTCTTGGGCGGTGGCGTTGACTGATTTGGTGGACTGTGGGCGCTCTTGCGAGACTGTCGAGAATTGATGCCATTTTAGACTATTCTTCACTGGCGAGCCACGAGGCGAAAGATGAATGTTGGATCGCAAGATGCTGTCGGGATGGTGTGGGAAAGTGGGAGCTTTGTGATGCGGATAGCTTCAATGTTAGGATTCGTCGTCATGGTGCGCATACTATTCACGTCAATAAGTCGCTACGACGTTGAGAGCCATTTTTGCTTCTGAATATAAAATCACACTGCGTTGACATGTAGGCTTCCCAGCCATGTGGAAACCGGCACAATGGGCGCACACTGAAGTTGATAGTTGTCGAAATGTCTGGTCGCAGCGGGACTCACATGCAGCCATCAAATCAAGTCAACATTGGATACCAGTCATAACTCCAGATGTCATTGATCAATTGAATTGATCAAGTCTCCATAAGTGCCAAGCGCTAAAAGACATGGCGCTAACATTCAATTGAGGACCGCCCAGGTCAATGCAAAACACGCACAAAGCGCGCATCCACAAGCCTGTCCAGACACGTGGCGACCAGACGTTCAATCCTCATCTCCCTTTACATCTCGCCTCGTGTGTCGGCAGGAAACTCTGCCATATTCCATTCTCTCATCCCGCACACCACAAGCTACTCCTTCTTTGTCAAGATTCAACACTCCGTGTCGCCCACCATGTCGTCGTGCTGCGACAAGACTTCGCACAACAGCTCAAAGCCAGAGCCCAAGAATGCACATGATTCACCGTCAAAACGCTGGCCGCAGCTGCAAAATCACTCCCTTGCGCCCTTCATATCAGCCCTTCTCCACGGCTCCTGCTGCTGGCTCCCGGTAAGTAAGGAGACGGCGTAAAACACCCTCCCCGGACGCATTGCTGACGTTGAACGGGGTGTCTAGGCGCTGCTGGATGTACTCACCGTCGGGTCCGCCTCCGTGTCGGCGGTTCATCGCCTGCAGCCTGTTTTTCTGGCCATCACCCTGGTTCTCCTGGGGGATCGATTTCGTCGCAGGGGGTTGACGAGGGATAATATGCTGCATCTTGTCTTTACTTGCGTGTTGCTGGGCTTGCCGCGGGTTCTCGAGGCCTTTAAGAAGCCTCAGCCTGTAGCGGGCCATGGCGGCCGGTGCCATTGAGCGGCTATTTTGTTGGCGAATTATTTTTACTTCTGAGATTGGTACGGGCTGTTGGGAGGGCGAGATTTGAAGGGCCTTGAGCTCGGTTCTAGACTTTTTTTTTTCCTTTTGGGCTATGCCTATGACCTAGATTTGTGTTTGTGCGGTTCTCGGATTGTATTGGTTTTTCTTGCCTTCTTGTCTGTATTGTTGTATGCGTAATTTTGTATTTCTTGCGGAATAATTCCTTTCCAGCCTTGGTATACAATGTCCGGAAGACTGTAAATCCAATTATGTCGCTCTTGAACGTTAAGTGGTAACTATTTTTATAGCTCTTTCGCGGTGAGACTTGCTAAAGCCATACAAACACTCTCTTTACAATGTTATAAAATAGATGCAAGTGAGATGGCTTTGACATTTATTAAGTTGTCTTCTTCCTCATCAATCATCAGGTCCCTTAGTTTTCCAACCGGGATGACCACCTCTTTTGATCCTATTGGATTGTACATGCCCCCTCCTCCCATGTTCTATGCATTTTCTGATAGTCAAATCGTTCTTTTACTCTGCGTCGAGTTTGAACTTTAAGTGGGAGCTATAATCTATACTTTTTCTCCCAGAATAGCCGATGTAAATTTTTGTAGTACCTGCCATGGACTAGGTATCTGCTCATTTTCGATTCGATTCCCACCCTTCCGAGTCATCACATTATCCCCCAATTCTTCCCAAGCGACACAGTCTGTCAGGCGTGAGCCTCCATAGCCCGATGGCAAGACTACGACAGCCTTGTGGGTGCTGCATGTCTATGTCTCATGGTTCAGGGGGTTGTGTCTGTGGATTTCGATAGTATTATGCAGTTCGTTTCTTCCTCACTTGCCAGGCAGACCTAAGCGGCTGGGAGTCACTGGATGAGGAATAAGACAAAGATACAGAGGGCGGAGCACTTACATATACTATTACCAATGGCAAATATCGCTCACCGGGTACATGTGGCCAATCATATAGCAGCACTTACTCTACGAACTACCTCCTGGGGCTAGAATAGTGTTGCAACACCACTTTTTAGTGCTGTGGACAATATAGACACGCTCCGTCTCATTGGTTTACGTTGTCCGTTCTCCAAAAACCGAATGCTCGTCCACCGGCGCCTTATTTTCTCCGAGGATTCCAATACCCCCATGGACTTGGCAAAGTAGCCTGAAACGGCTCAACTGGTGTGCCTAGGTCAAGTTTGGTCGAGGTGGGCGCTCACTCTGGACCTTCTTCTGCGGCTTAACTCGGCCCCTGCGGTTTTCGTTGAACTTGTCCAAGGGGGCTCCGTAATTTGTCCATGGAAGGCTGCGGCGGAGTTGGGCCAGTTCGACTCCACGCCTTGTCAGGCATTCTCACTGGATGACTTGGAATGGGCCTTTGGCGTAATTGCGGAACACAACGGTATCGGCAAATACCAAAAACATGCTTGACCTTGAGGCGAAAGCATCGTTTCGAGAAATGTGGCATCATCAACCCTAGCTCTGAGCTCAGTCATATTGATCCATTTTCAATCAACATGGCCCTGCTCGCCTAAAATCTAGCATTGTTGAAACTTCACACTTTGCCCATTCTCGTGGTGGAGGAAGGCTCATGAGGAGTTCTCGGCGGTCTAACGGGACGCTGGAGGGGCCGGAGCGACCACCGGACATGCACCGCCCACTCTGTCAAAAACTCGGGCGGAAACGGCGCAGGTGGGGCCGCCACTTTCGCCGGCCTGGGCCTGTTTCGGTATCAATTGATAAGGTCTGCGGCGTGGGTTGGTCAATTCGATTTGTCACGATGCGTTACACCAAGAACATCTACATACGAAACAGTTGGTTGGATGGTTATTTGTGGCCCCTACTTGAACGAGTTCCATGACGAAGAAAAATCGTTACGTAAACGAGCATGAGAATAGTGATGTAGAGGCGTGGGGGCCATACTTTCGCTTGCTCTCAGTAAAAAATTAAAATTCAGATCATCTTCTATTTAGCTGTTTCTTCTGTTCTACCATGCTCTTCTCCTAGGCGTAGCTGTATCACCACACTTATCCCACCGGGTTGTTATCAAGTTGAATTCCATTGTGGTGAAATACAATGAAAGAGCCTCTACTCTACGCTCACAATACCACCCTCCTTTATGAGGGACGAGAGGCGGTGTGCGATGTGCGGTGTGACACATTTTTTTAAACCAACAAGGCGCGCGTATCATACAGCCGCATACTGAATGGTACCTTCAAGAGAGTCATTGCGTTTTCGACGCTGCAAATATGTGCTGTCAACTTTGATTCTATTAGTTCGATAGCAGGCTTTTGCAGCTCCATGGTGGCGAATGGCATTCAAGGCGGAAATGACGGATGCATTGAAGATTTATTTCCACCAATGCCCTTTGGGTGTTTTCTTTCAGTGAAGCGGCACCCCTCTCTTGTCGAGGACCGTGGCAATATGTGTGTTGGCAGAACTTGGGTCGCGCAAGTAGGTGGTGGAGAGTATGCATGTTGGGTGAACCAGGCGGGGAGTCATGGTCCGGGAGGCTGGAATGTAGCTCGTTAGGTCCAATGAAATTTTGTAAATTTACAAGTGTTATTATTAGTTTTAAACGCCTGCAAGGACCCAATTTTGCCCAAACTTCTTCTTCCTCTCCTGAGAAATGCCATTCATCAGGATTGATAGCGTAGCTCCAGCCTCCCACCTTGAATGAAGGGAGAAACTCATGCTGTAGGCGTGTTAGAAGGGTTGAGATTAGATCCTCTTTGTTGCCCTGGCTCTGTTATTGCATGCCAATCAACGTCGGTGCGCATCGATAGAGTCCTTGCAAACCACGGAATCAAGGTAGAATTAGTTAGCCTTGGGAAGAAAATGGTTATGCTGATACACTCATCTCTTAGATCTTATTCATAAGTTCATAACCCACACTGAGTTCACAGAGACCATTTATGATACCCTTCAATCCTAAAAACCTCTTCAGCATCATGCGAGGATCCGTCAACTCAGTTCCAGTCACTTTGAAGAGCCGCCCGCGCTGACAAAGTATTTCGTTTGGCCCAAAAGAAACAATGCCATGTTGCTTCGGGTCCAATATTCGCTGGTTCTCTGTCTCGAAAACTTTAGCTTGGACTCGACTCGTGGTAAATCGGTTCCGTGTGTCCCTGTCTAAAAGGTAGTGCAGATAATGTTACCCGGAGGTGGTGTACATGAAAACCTACTAGTGAGATCGTTGATGCCTTGATCAGCTGTCCACCCATGATGAATTGCAATATTGCGAACCCATATATATATAGCAATTTAAAACTAATCTTTCCATTCAGATTTTGGTGCTTCTAGAACACGGGATTGAAGTCTCTACCTGCTCTCCACAGGTCGGCATACGGACTGTGCTTACATCGCCAACCACCAGCGGCGTTTTTCGTGCAACTCCTAACCAGCCAGCTCCAGTTCCGCCGCTCTCGTCATCCAATGACTCGCCTCCAATGATTTGCTGCCAGCTAAACGACGCAGTGACCAGGTCTGAGCGACGGAACGAACGAGACCTGGCCGGACGTGTGGTGCAACAGACGCCTGCATTCTGCCGTCACCCCACGCATAACAAGTTGCAGAGTTGCAGGAAACACAATGTGTATTCCATCATCTTTCTTTTGCCATTATTTTATCAGAGTTGAAGGATAAGGATACAACATGAATGCTTCCGTCTCTGGCACTCATTGCATGCAGCCTAGTTGCGATGCCGACTCTGTTGTTACCCTGGCGGCTCAAGGACTGAATCGGACTTTACTAGCCGCCGTTCACACGTATCACTTGTCGCGCGCCTCGATTCTACGAATTTATGCCCCCATTGAGCCTTATGCCACTGCGCTGTCCATGGTTTGGACAATTGCCATTCTGTGCAACCTGGCACGACAGGCCATACTTGCGGCTTCCAGACGATCTGGCCTTCCTAAACCGACCACGGGGGGACGCAGTCGACGAATCAAACTGGCAATTCCAATATCGTGGTGGTTTTCGGTCCATTTTGTTTTGAAACCAAAGACGAAAGGATACCTGGTGAAATTGGGGGCATCATTCGAGGATATCAAGGTGTTGCTTGTGTTTGAGAAGTCGAAGGGCTCGGCAGCTTCCATTAAGAGACAGATAAAATGTTACGGAGGGATATCTATACTGAAATTCTCTACAACTATTGATCGATAAACCATGATGCTCAAAAACGACGACTTGGTCACCGGATTTTTGTTGGCCGCAGCTTTGGGGGCAAACTTGCATTGGGGTCATCGGGGATTTATTGGAAACTATCTCGGCATGGAAACGTTGGAATGGCACTTGTGCGTTTAACAGACACAGTCTCTGGCCCATATAGAAAATAAATCTTGAATTGGTTCATATATCATCTTGGTGGTTTAATTTCGAATAGTTGTTGTAAACGGCCAGGGGTCAAGATTTTTCAAGGAGATTCACGGCAGAATATTCAAGCAGTCCTTGTGGCCTACATATCGAGTGGTGGGTAGAGTTCCTCTGGCAAAGCAAGATAATCGTGGGAGTGTTAGATACCATTTTTATCTTCCTAATAAAATCAACGATTGAGCGAGTAGCGAGAAGAATAAATATTAGTTATTAGTAGTAATAACAATACCTCCACTAATCCCCAGCAGGCGCGTCAAAGTTCTCATGTGCCTGTGCAACCGAGCATTAGGTCGTATGCCGACGTGGTTGGCCAACGTTCAATGTAAAATGGCAAGCACTTGAGCAAAAAATTGAGGCAACAAGGCACACGCTCTTTCCCTGTGATATGCGTACTGGACACCAAGGACGACAAATGAGTCGCCCAAATGCATGGACCAGTCGCAGTGCCAAGCAGGAAATCTCAAGGACCGTGGATTTCTCAACCAGAACTCTTTGGCATCAGATGCTGGGAGTCACAAAGAAATATTCTGGGCAAGAAAATGCCACACAGTTTTGAGTTGACTTATGCCGGATTCGATGAGGAAGTCGGACATGCTCAGC